AGTTTGCTGAGAATGATGGTTTCCGGCTGCATCCATGTCCCTACAAAGGACACAAACTCATCCTTTTTTGTGGCTGCATAGTATTCCATGGTGTATATGGTCTTTTCACATAGTCCCATATGTCATGGAGACTTTGTTCATTTCTTTTTACTCTTTTTTCTCTAAACTTCTCTTTTCACTTCATTTCATCCATTTGATGTTCAATTACTGATACCCTTTCTTCCACTTGATCAAATTGGTACTGAAGCTTATGTATGTGTCACATAATTCTTGTGCCATAGTTTTCAGCTCTATCAGGTCATTTAAGGATTTCTCTACACTGTTTATTCTAGTTAGCCATTCGTCTAATCTTTTTTGAAGATTTTTAGCTTGTTTGTAATGGGTTTGAACATCCTGCTTTAGCTCAGAGAAATTTGTTATTACCGATCTGAATCCTTCTTCTCTTGACTTGTCAAAGTCATTCTCCATCCAGCTTTGTTCTGTTGCTGGTGAGGAACTGCATTCCTTTGGAGGAGAAGAGGCACTCTGATTTCTAGAATTTTCAGCTTTTCTGCTCTGGTTTCTCCCCATCTTTTGTGGTTTTATCTACCTTTGGTCTTGATGATGGTGATGTACAGATGGGGTTTTGATGTGGATGTCCTTTCTGTTTGTTAGTTTTCCTTCTAACAGTCAGGACCCTCAGCCACACGTCTGTTGGGGTTTGCTGGAGGTCCACTCCTGACCCTGTTTGCCTGGGTATCACCAGTGGAGGCTGCAGAATGGCAAATATTGCTGTCTGAGCCTTCCTCTGGAAGCTTTGTCTCTTGGGGCACCCAGCCATATGAGGTGTCAGTCACCCCCAACTGGGAGGTGTCTCCCAGTTAGGCTACTCAGGGTCAGGGACCCACTTGAGGAGGCAGTCTGTCCATTCTCAGATCTCAAACTCCATGCTGGGAGAACCACTACTCTCTTCAAAGCTGTCAGACAGGGACGTTTAAGTCTGCAGAAGGTTCTGCTGCCTTTTTTTCAGCTATGCCTTACCCTTAGAGGTGGAGTCTACAGATGCAGGCAGGCCTCCTTGAGCTGTGGTGGGCTCTACCCAGTTCAAGCTTCCCAGCCACTTTGTTTACCTACTCAAGCCTCAACAATGGCAGATGCCCCTCCCCAGCCTCAGTGCCACTTCACAGTTTGATCTCAGACTGCAGTACTAGCAGTGAGTGGGGCTCCGTGGGTGTGGGACCCTCTGAGACAGGCGTGGGATACAGTGTCCTGGTGTGTCATTTGCTAAAGCCATTGGAAAAGTGCAGTATTAGGGCGGGAGTGTCCCAATTTTCCAGGTGCAATCTGTCATGTCTTCCTTTTGCTAGGAAAGGGAATTACCCCACCCCTTGCACTTCCTGGGTGAGGTGATGCCCTGCCCTGCTCTGTGGGCTGCACCCACTGTCTGACAAACCCCTGTGAGATTAACCCAGTTCCTGAGTTGGAAATGCAGAAATCACCCACCTTCTGCATCACTCACACTGGGAGCTGCAGGCTGGAGCTGTTCATATTTGGTCATCTTGGAGCCTCCCCCCTTCCTTACATCTTACACAAAATTAACTCAAGATGGATTGAAGACTTAAATGTAAAACCTAAAACCATAAAAACCCTAGAAGAAAACCTAGGCAATACCATTCAGGACATAGGCATGGGCAAAGATTTCATGACTAAAACACCAAAAGCAATGGCAACAAAGGCCAAAATTGACAAATGGGACCTAATGAAACTAAAGAGCTTCTGCACAGCAAAGGAAGCTATCATAAGAGTGAACAGGCAACCTACAGAATGGAAGAAAATTTTTGCCATCTATCCATCTGACTAAGGTCTAATATCCAGAATCCACAAGGAACTTAAACAAATTTACAAAACAACAACAACAACAACAACAACAACAACAACAACAAACTACTGGGTCTGTCCTGCAGACCCTGGCCAATGGATGAAATGAGTACTCATATACAGGTATGCAGTGTAAGAGCAGCTAGGGGACTGTCTGGCTTAAGTGACCAGAGTGTAGCCTTGAGAAGCTGGAGCTGCATGCTTTTATTCAGTGCAGGCACAATGCTGAAAACCTGGAGCCCACATAATCTGTAGGTAATTAATATTTATTGTTCCCCGTTCAGGGAACATCAAGCAGGGATGATCAAAGGTCAGCTCCTGGTCAATATAAGTAAACAAGCCTGTTCATGATGACTTCCCCTTCCCTCCCTTGTGCATATTCTTGCCCTCTGGCTCAGGGTCAGAGAACAGCTGCCTTCATCTATTCTACCTGAAGCTATGCAGAGCCTTTTCATCTTTCAGAAGAGCTGTTCTTTTCCCTGTGCTTTCTCCTACCGCTCTGACTGATCTCCTACAAACAACTCCATCAAAAAGTGAGTGAGCAGACACTTCTCAAAAGAAGAGATTTATGCAACCAACAAACATATGAAAAACAGTTCATCATCACTGGTCATTAGAGAATGTAAATCAAAACCACAATGAGATACTATCTCATGCCAATTAGAATGGTGATCGTTAATAAGTCAGGAAACAAGAGATGCTGGTGAGAATGTGAAGAAATAGGAACACTTTCACACTGTTGGTGGGAGTGTAAATTATTTCAGCCATTGTGGAAGACAGTGTGTTGATTCCTCAATGATCTAGAACCAGAAATTCCATTTGATCTAGCAATCCCATTACTGGGTATATACCCAAAGGATTATAAACCATTTTACTATAAAGATACATGCACATGTATGTTTATTGCAGCACTATTTACAGTAGCAAAGACTTGGAACCAACCCAAATGCCCATCAATGACAGACTGGATAAAGAAAATGTGGGAAACACACACTACAGAATACTATGCAGCCATAAAAAATAATGAGTTCATGTCCTTTGCAGGGACATGGATGAAGCTGGAAACCATCATCCTCATCAAACTAACACAGGAACAGAAAACCAAATACCACATGTTCTCACTCATAAGTGGGAGTTGAACAATGAGAACACGTGGACACAGGGAGGGGAACATCACATACCAGGGCCTGTCGAGGGGTTGGGGGGCAAGGGGAGGGAGAGCATTGGACAAATACCTAATGCATGTGGGGCTTAAAACCTAGATGATAAGTTCATAGATGCAGCAAACCACCATGGCACATGTATACCTATGTAACAAATCTGCACAGTTCTGCACATGTATCCCAGAAATTAAAGTAAAATAAAAAAATTTAAAAAATTTATCAATCACTTGATTACAACTTTATTTCAGAGATCCTCCACCAAACAAGAAAACCTTTCCTATAATTTAATTTATTTAGCTATTAAATGATAGACTTGGCCTAATCAATGTCAAATTTCAAATAATTTGAAGGATGATTAGAGATGATGGACATTTAGTTCCTAAAGAAGAAAATTCATTTTTAAAAAACTAAAGAAAAAAAACTTTTATTAATTTCCTTTTCCTTTTTTCTTTCTTTCTTTTCTTTTCTTTTTTTTTTTTTTTTGAGTCAGGGTCTCGCTCTTTTGCCAGGCTGAAGTGCACTGGTGTGATTTCGGCTCACTGCAACCTCTGCCTCCTGGATTCAAGAGATTCTCCTGCCTCAGCCTCCCAAGTAGCTGGGATTACAGGCATCCACCACCACATTCGACTAATTTTTGCATCCTTAGCAGAGATGGGATTTCACCATGTTGCCCAGGCTGGTCTTGAACTCCTGACCTCAGGTGATCCACCCGCCTCGGCCTCCCAAAGCGCTGGGTTTACAGACGTGAGCCACCATGCTCCACCTAATTTACTTTTCCTTGTTTGCCTTGCCTGGGATTTACATTTCAAATAAAAAGATTTTGTTTAATTTTTTTGACAAACTAATCTATGTTAGACATACTATTCATTTATATTTGTTTTCCTTCTGATAAAACACATTCTGCTTCTTACATTTATTTTCTCAAACACGTGAATTCACCCATAGTCTCTCTAGTTCCTCTGTACTGATTCAACGCATGATTCTTTCAGCTATTCATTATAATATAAAAAGCTTTGAAATCCCCAACCATTCTCGCCCTTTCTATCTCAGTGCTTTGTTGTCTACAGACTTTGCAGAGTGATGTGATTCCCTCTGAAACTTGAATTATTAGGTTTTTAAAAAATTCTCCTTTTTTTTCTTTCCAAAGTAAAAGACAAATAGGCCAGGAATGTAGATGTACATTTAGCATTTGAGCAACCATTATTCAACCAGCTAGGTTGTAATGGTTACTTCAGGATTAATGTAAAAGTGCTGTGTTGATTTTATGCATGCCAGACTCTTTTTTTTTTTTTTTTTTTTTTGCTGTTAAGGGAATTCGTAGGTAAAACATTGCTTAAAACTTCTAAACTATTATTATCTGTTAACAAATACAAAGTGTTTTATAACTACAGTTTACTAGTATTTTAAAATTGTTTCCAATTCTTTAGCCTCACCCTGTGATCCCACTTTCATCCTGGGCTGTGCTCCCTGCAATGTGATCTGCTCCATTGTTTTCCATAAACGTTTTGATTATAAAGATCAGCAATTTCTTAACTTGATGGAAAAATTTAATGAAAACACCAAGATTGCGAGCAGCCCCTGGATCCAGGTAAGGCCAAGATTTTTGTGTCCTGAGAAACCACTTATGCTCTTTTTTTCTGACAAATTCAAAATCCTATATGGACCAAACCCTGAAGTGCATTTTTTGAATACTGCAGTCTTGCCCATACAACCATGGGGTAAATATCTGGGAAAGATGGCAAAGCCCTTTATTTTATGCACAAGAAATGAATGCCCCAATATAGATCTGGCTTCTAAGTCCATTAGCTCCCTGATCAGTGTTTTTTCCACTAAACTCCAAAGCCCTGTTTCTATAAAGTACTTTGGTGACAGCCCCAAAGCGTGCTCATATCACTCCATGGACATCCAGGCACTTTGGAGGCTTCCATTACTCAGAAGGCTTGTCCTTCAATTCACACTTTGTCATATTATGTGGCAGAAATATCCTAATCTAGAAGACGTTATCTCCTTCAAGGAGGGAGAATATTTGGAACCATAGAAGCTGCCAAAAAACACTGAATAGGGCAGGGGTGTTTGATATCTCAGTTGGGATTCTAGCTGATGAGATAGCTGGGTTAGGAATGACAAAATTATTGTTTTTTGTGTGTGTATGAACCATAAACAGACATCACACTTTTACCCTGTGCTGAACTGGCATGTTTTATACTCTGCCTAGATAATAACTGTGTGATTTTAGAGAAGTCATTTAACTGCTCTGGTGCACAGTTGGAATTTGAAGCATCTTTGAACCCCTCCAACTTCTAAAATACTAATTACATTTCAGAGGTTGCTTGATAGAAATCAATATAGTAGGGACAAGCTTTGTACTATCAATCAGATTTTCCAAATTCTTTTAACCTATGCTGTCATCTACAAAACGTGAATGTAGAAATTGATACCATCTTATATTTCAAGATTGTAGAGAAGAATTGTAAAAAGTAAGAGAATTAATATAAAGATGCTTTTGTACTATAAAAAGGAGATATGAGTCTAGGAAATGATTATCATCTTTGATTCTCTGGTAAGAATTTTCTTCCTCAAATCTTTTATAATCAGAGAATTACTACATATGTACAGTAAAAATTTCTCCATCAAGATATAGAATATATTTTATTTATATTTATATATTTAAATTACAACCAGAGCTTGGTATATGGTATGTAAGCTTTTATTAAATGCTTTTAATTTAATAAATTATTGTTTTCTCTTAGATCTGCAATAATTTTCCTCCTTTCATTGATTATTTCCCGGGAGCCCATAACAAAATACTTAAAAACATTGCTTTTGTGAAAAGTTATATTTTGGAGAAAGTAAAAGAACACCAAGAATCAATGGACATGAACAACCCTCGGGACTTTATTGATTGCTTCCTGATCAAAATGGAGAAGGTAAAAAGTTAACAACAGCTTAGTTATGTGACTGCTTGCGTATTTGTGATTCATTGACTAGTTTTGGGTTTACTATGGATGTTTAAGTGGTCAAGGAGTAATGCTTGAGAAGCATTTTAAGTTTTTGTTGTATGGATGAATATCAAGTAAGCATCATAGAAAATATAAAATTAAATTGTTAAATATTTAGACTACATAGACTCAATTGTTTAGATAAATATAATCTACCTGAACAATAAAGATGGCAGAATAGGAAAAGCCCTGTTCTGCAGCTTCCAGTGATATCAACGCAGAAGGTCGGTGATTTCTGCATTTCCAACTGAGGTACCCAGCTCATTTCATTTGGACTGGTTAGACAGTGGTGCAGCCCACGGAGAGTGAGCAGAAGCAGGGTGGGGCATCACCTCACTTGGAAAGCTCAGGGAGCTCCCTCCCCTAGCCAAGGGAAGCTGTGAGAGACCCTGCCATGAGGAACTGTGTATTCCTGCCCAGATACTATGCTTTCCCAACAGTCTTAGCAACCTGCAGACCAGAAGATTCCCTCAGGTGCCTACAGCACCAGGGTCCTGGGTTTCAAGCACAAAACTGGGCAGCTGTTTGGGCAGACACCGAGTTAGCTGCAGGAGTTCTTTATTTCATACACCAGTGGCACCTGGAACACCAGTGAGACAGAGCTGTTCACTCCGCTGGAAAGGGGGCTGAAGCCAGGGAGCCAAGAGGTCTAGCTCAATGAATCCAACCCCCATGGAGCCCAGCAAGCTAAGATCCACTGGCTTGAAGTTCTTGCTGCCAATACAGCAGTCTGAAGTTGACCCAGGATGCTGGAGCTTGGTGAGGGGAGGGGCATCTACCATTACTAAGGCTTGAGTAGGTAGTTTTCCCCTCACAGTGTAAACAAAGCCACAAGGAAGTTAGAACTGGGTGGAGCCCACTGCAGCTCAGCAAAGCCACTGTAGCTAGACTGCCTCTCTAGATTCTTCCTCTCTGGGCAGGACATCTCTGAAAGAAAGGCTGCAGTCCCAGTCAGGGGCTTATACATAAAGTGTCCATCTCCCTGGGACAGAGCACCTGGGGGAAGGGGCGGCTATGAGCACAGCTTCAGCAGACTTAAACTTTCCTGCCTGCCAGCTCTAAAGAGATCAGTAGATCTCCCAGCACAGTGCTTGAGCTTTGCTAAGATACAGACTGCTTCCTCAAGTGGGTGCTTGACCCCCAAGCCTCCTGATGGGGAGACACCTCCCAGCAGGGGTCAACAGACACATCATACAGGAGAGCTTTGGGTGGCGTCTGGTGGGTGCCCCTTTGGGATGAAGCTTTCGGAGGAAGGAGAATGCAGCAATCTTTGCTGTTCTGCAGCCTCCACTGGTGATACCCAGGCAAAGAGGGTCTGGAGTGGACCTCCAGCAACTCCAGCAGACCTGCAGAAGAGGGGCCTTACTGTTAGAAGAAAAACTAATGAACAGAAAGAAATAGCATCAACATCAACAAAAATCTCATACAAAGGTCACCAGCATCAAAGACCAAAGGTAGATAAATCCACAAAGATGAGGAAAAACCAACTTAAAAAGTCTGAAAATTTCAAAAACCAGAATGCCTCTTCTCCTCCAAAGGACCACAACTCCTTGCCAGCAAGGGAACAAAACTAGACGGAGGGTGAGTTTGATGAATTGACAGAAGTAGACTTCAGAAGGTGGGTGAAAACGAACTCCCTGAGCTAAAGGAGCATATTCTATCCCAATGCAAGAAAGCTAAGAACCTTGAAAAAAGGTTAGATGAATTGCTAACTAGAATAACCAATTTAGAGAAAAACATAAATGACCTGATGGCGCTGAAAAACACAGCATGAGAACTTCGTGAAGCATACACAAGTATCAATAGCCAAACTGATCAAGCAGAAAAACGAATATCAGAGATTAAAGATCAAATTAATGAAATAAAGCATGAAGATAAGATGAGAGAAAAAAGAATGAAAAGGAGCAAACAAAGCCTCCAAGAAATACGGGACTATGTGAAAAGATCAAATCTACATTTGATTGGTGTACCTGAAAGTGATGAGGAGAATGGAACCAAGTTGGAAAACACTCTTCAGGATATTATCCAGCAGAACTTCCCCAACCTAGAAAGGTAGGCCAACATTCAAATTCAGGAAATACAGAGAACACCACAAAGATACTTTCTGAGAAGAGCAACACCAAGACACATAATCATCAGATTCACCAAGGTTGAGATGAAGGGAAAAGTGTTAAGGGCAGCCAGAAAGAAAGGTCAGGTTACCCACAAAGGGAAGTTCATCAGACTAACAGCAGATCTCTCGGCAGAAACTCTACAAGCCAAAAGACAGCAGGGGCCAATATTCAACATTCTTAAAGAAAAGAATTTTCAACCCAGAATTTCATATCCAGCCAAACTGAACTTCATAAGCAAAGGAGAAATATCATTTTTTACAGGCAAACAAATGCTGAGGGATTTTGTCGCCACCAGGTCTGCCTTACAAGAGCTCTTGAAGGAAGCACTAAATATGGAAAGGAAAAATCGGTACCAACCACTGCAAAAACATACCAAATTGTAAAGACCATTGACACGATGAAGACACTGTATCAACTAATGGGCAAAATAATCAGCCAACATCATAATGACAGGATCAAATTCACATATGACAATATTAACTTTAAATGTGAATGAGATAAATGCCTTAGTTAAAAGACACAGATTGGCAGGTTGGATAATGAGTCAAGACCCATCGGTGTGCTATCTTCAGGACATCCATATCATGTACAAAGACACACATAGGCTCAAAATAAAGGATTGGAGGAAGATTTACCAAGCAAATGGAAAGCAAAAGAAAAAAAAAAAAAAGAAAAAAGCAGGGGTTGCAATCCTAGTCTCTGATAAAACAGACTTTCAACCAACAAAGATCAAAAGAGATGAAGAAGGCGATTACATAAAGGTAAAGGGATCAATGCAACAAAAAGAGCTAACTATCCTAAATATATCCTAAATATATATATAGCCAATACAGGAGCACCCAGATTCATAAAGCAAGTTCTTAGAGACCTACAAAGAGACTTAGACTCCCACACAATAATAGTGGGAGACTTTAACAACCCACTGTCAATATTAGACAGGCCAATGAGACACAAAATGAACAAGGATATCCAGGACTTGAACCCAGCTGTGGACCAAGTGGACCAAATAGACATCTACAGAACTCTCCACTCCAAATCAACAGAATATACATTCTTCTCAGCACCACATCGCACTTATTCTAAAATTGACCACATAATTGGATATAAAACACTCCTTAGCAAATGCAAAAGAGTGGAAATCGTAGCAAACAGTCTCTCAGACCACAGTGTAACCAAACTAGAACTCAGGATTCAGAAACTCACTGAAAACCACGCAACAACATGTAAACTGAACAACCTGCTCCTGAATGAATACTGAGTAAATAATAAAATTAAGGCAGAAATAAATAAGTTCTTTGAAACCAATGAGAACAAAGACACAATGTACCAGAATCTCTGGGTCACATGTAAATCAGTGTTTAGAGAGCAATTTATACACTAAATGCCCACAGGAGAAAGTGGGAAATATCTAAAATCGACACTCTAACATCACAATTAAAAGAACTAGAGAAGCAGGAGCTAACAATTCAAAACTAGCAGAAGACATGAAATAACTAAGATTAGAGCAGAACTGAAGAAGACAGAGACCCGAAAGCTCCTTCAAACAATCAATGAATCCAGAAATTGTTTTTTGAAAAGGTTAAGAAAATAGACCAGTAGCTAGACTAATAAAGAAGAAAAGAGAGAAGATCAAATAGATACAGTAAAAATGATAAAGGGCATATCACCACTGATCCCACAGAAATACAAACTACCCTCAGAGAATACTATAAACACCTCTACGCAAGTAAACCAGAAAATCTAGAAGAAATGGATGAATTCCTAGACACATACACCCTCCCAAGACTAAACCAGGAAGAAGTAGAATCCATGAATAGACCAATAACAAGTTCTAAAATTGGGGCAGTGATGAAGAACCTACCAACCAAACAAAACAAAACAAAAAACAAACAAACAAAACAAAACACTGATTCAGAGCCAAATTCTATCAGAGGTACAAAGAGGAGCTGATCCTATTCCTTCTGAAACTATTGCAAACAATAGAAAAAGAGGGAATTCTCCCTAAATCATTTTATAAGGCTAGCATCATCCTGATACCAAAACCTGGCAGAGACACAAGAGAAAAAGAAAATTTCAGGTCAATATACCTGATGAATATGAATGTGAAAATCCACAATAAGATACTGGCAAACCAAATCCAGCAACACATCAAAAAGCTTATCACCACGATCAAGTTGGCTTCATCCTTGGAATGCAAGGCTGATCCAACATACACAAATCAATAAATGTAATCCATCATATAAACAGAACCAATGACAAAAACCACATCATTATCGCAATAGATGCAGAAAAGGCCTTCAAAAAAATTTAATACCTGAAGTCTTAATTACTGTACCTTTGTATTAATATCAACTTACTAAATCAAGGAGTGTGAGTCTTTTGTTGTCCATTTTCAATACTGTTTTCACTATTCTGGGTCCCTTGAATCTTCATATGAAATTTAGGATTAACTTGTCAATTTCTTCAAAGGAGCCAATGGGGATTTTGATAGGATTGCATTAAATCTGTAAAACAGGGAGTTAGGCCATTTTAAAAATGGAAGTAAAATTCACACAACATACTATTAACCAGTTGAAAGCATACACCTAAGTGGTATTTAATATATTCACAATGTTGTGCAACCATCAACTTTCTCTGGTTTCAAATGTTTTTATCACACCATAAAAACACATTATATTCGTTAAATAATTACTCCATTTCCCCACTCCATCATGTAATAACCTCTAATCTTCTTTCTGTCTCTATGGGTTTGCCTGTTACGGATACATAAAGAACTCACAGCATATGTGAACTTTTGTTTCAGGGTCCTTACAT